AAACCAAGTCATTTTGCCTTACATTTGCAGTAGTTTTCCTACTTTTTTTGCATAAATCGTTCTCAGTGTTTTCGTAATTTTAACACAATAAACAACAAGACAGTACACGTAGTCGCTAATAATGCTGGGAACACGTGTCGAAAGACACAAACCTCAGGCACCACTGTAGTTTTATACTCGTAATGGTATGTTAATGAGTAAAAGTGCTAGAATGTGCTCTGCTTAGGCGCAGACGCAACCCCGCGGCGCGCCTGTTAAAATCGCTTTGTCCGCCCGTCTTTTCGCATGCAAGAAAAAATTCGCAAACAGATAAAACCACTTTCGATTAAATTGTGTACTGAATAATTTTACGAAAATCAGTGAGGGCATTTAAAATTTAATTTAGGCCTGGAAATTTCAAACTGCTTTAGGTATGAGCGTAATTTTTTTTATGATCTGACCACAGTAAGTCTTTCAACACATGAACAAATGCTTCAACTGTTTCAGTAAAAGATTGCAACAATTAAAAAAAAACAAAGAAACTCTTGACTCAGTACGGAATGCGCTGACCTCAATTTTGTTTTATTCAATGTACGTTTATTTAAGGAAAGAGATCGTCGTAGTCACAATTATTCAGTTTACTGAAGAATCTGCTTCCAAGGATAATCTCAAAGTGAAGAAGTTTTGTCAGTTTACTTCTGTTTATACATGTCATTTACCCACAATTCCGTCTGCCGAAAACTCCTGTTAATTGTAGGTCTACACTGTACGCTTTTACGATCTAGTCCTAAGATATGTGTCTACTTTCGGGTTATATAAATAATGTCTACGACTTCAACAGGGCAAACTGTGTATCCCGCTTATAATACACTGCACGCTCCTGGAAATATGCATTCCAAGCAGGCGATACCAGCAGCACGCTCCGTTATCGGCCACTTTCGTTTTAACACTACACCCCAGACATGACATTTCTTCCTACTGGCACAGCATATAAATCATATGTTAAGACTACCAGAGCCGTTACAATTGTTTAATGAGTAGTTTGCATTTACTTTCAACCCACTGCGCACTTGCAGGGAATGTTTAGCAGTTTCGCGACAAGCAGAGTCAGGCGAAGCGGCAGAGATAAAACATAACTACTCCGTCCACATGCATCTAACCATACACATACAGAGCTTGAAAATTATGCATACTTTTACACGCAAAACTAAAAATCCTTTAGTTGATAAATAGTTTAAACTTGCCATGAGTGAGAATTTTAGCGTTGTAAATAGCATTTTGACAGATAATATCTCAAAGATTTTCGAAGAGTGGAACTTGTTTTTACTAAATAAATTTGTTAAATAAAATTTCGTTTACAAAAATATTTTAAAGGATATAAATCAATATAAAATATATAATAACAATAGAAAGCACAGGGAAAAATGTTGTCCACTTTATTCTCATAAAATCTTAAAAAATAATGGGGTATTTTGTTTCCGGTAAAGTCTTCAATACTTAAAATCGCAACACGGTCCAACTACATCAGTCGTTCGTTTCCTTTATATGTTTTATTTATCGCATCCTAAATAAAAATGGTACTTGTTATACCTGCCCGAATTCTCAAGAAAACTACAGAATTGTCGAACTACTACTAGAAACAATACGCAAATAAATTATTTTAAATATCAAAACTCCAGGATTAAAGAATTGGACTTGATGGACGGAGAAACATAAACGTTTATGACAGAACGTACGAAACTAGTTTTGATCCTGTGATCTCCAGATTGCGACTCACGAACTGTCTGTTGCATCACTAAAATATGTCTGATGAAGTGGATAGTGAAAGCGCTAATTATCATGCGCCTAACTACACCTTTTCTGTCCTATATGGAAGTCAACTGGTGTTAAATGCGTGGGTGAAGAAATGTGGCTGAGAACATTCATACACTTATCTGTTATCTGCCCACATTCGCGGCCTTCCGAAGTATGTCAGCGTAACGTAATCACTACACGTAAGAAAAATCTTATCTCACGCCAGTGGATTACCTGAAACTGTGTCCATCATCAGACGTTCCTTCTAGCCGAAGACATAATACGTCTGGCATAAGGTAAATCCGGGAGAGATGCCGCGGCGGGAGAGACGCCGCATTTTTTAATTCGGTGGGTTCCGTTAATCCTATTCCGATGTCAGTACATGTCCTTGTTCAGTGAGCCAAGAGAAATGTTGTGAGTGGACGCATTGAAAATCAGTGCTGTTTTGCAAGAGTTATAACTGATTTTATGCGGTGAGTTTGTTAATTTTGTGCTCAAAGTTATTTCTGCTGTTCATAAGATGTGTCTTTATTAATTCCAGTCGAAGTAACTATGAAATCACGATACATTAGAGGTTTCCAGCGTTGCTGGTCTTGACTTTGCACGACGTGGCCGCCATGTTGGTCATTGGGTAAGGCAAGTGGGAGGGCGCGGCGTCTCTCCCTGAAGATAAGGAGAGACGCCGCAAGAAATTAAGGGAAAGATACCGCACTTAAAAAAATACCGCATCTGATTTAAAAAATCATACATATACAATATAGAGTACTCAAAAATGCCTGTTCTATTGCATTATCTTATATTATTGAGGAAAATTAGTCCAGTGCTGAAAATACCGAGGAAAAAACTCAACTGAAAGTAGGCAACTGGCTTCTGTCCTCACTGAAACAACCAACATAGAGGAAATGCGAAAGAAGCAAAGAGGAAACGAAGTCAAAAAGCAGAGGAAAAAGGCAAAGGTGAACAGTCCGAGTACTTCAGGTCTACAAGGTTTAAAAACTTTAAAAAAAAGTTCTGATCAAGAGACCCCTGAAAACTGTAACATCAACAAGTGCTGTGAGTACTGGGAAAACTGTTGCAAAAGCTGGCTGCATGAGTTCTGCTCTCCGTAAAAATTTCATTGACTAACGCTTAGACTCTAAATTCGCTGGTTTAAGCTTTGACTCCAAGCAACCACTGGAAAATTTTGCTTTCAATGTACTTGATAATTGAAATTTCATTTGAATATTTATTAACTTTTCAATTTGTATTGTTATTCACATATTTTTTCTATTTTAATGTTCACATTAATTAATTACGTTGAATGAAGTTCATCAGTTTTCATTTAAATATGTTTCTTTTTGAATTCAAGGATGTTTTCAAAGAGCGGCATCTCTCCCGGCATGTCCGGGAGAGATGCCGCAAAGACAACTTTTTTTATCGCCCTGTATCTCTGAGAATTAATTTGCTTTAGATATTTTGTTTACGGATTAGTATAATAGAGATCTTAAATATAATAACTTTGAATTTTCAGCCGTTTTGACCTTTTTCGGATTGAGTTAAAACAAATGTTGCAAAAAGTGCGGCATCTCTCCCGGAATTACCTTATATTACTTAATCACACAGTTTACAAATACTTTCATATTCCCCCTTTCTTGCTTTGTATGGTTCCGAAAAATGGTCTCTTGTATGGCCCCTTTCGTTCTTTCAGATCGATCAGTCTACTCTTAAATACAAGTGTCTCCAAAAAATACGTATACACACATAAAATTAATGAAATAAACACATTTTAATAAACTAAATAGAACTTACAGAATCGTGAAATAAACCACAAATAAAAAACCTTATGTAAATATGGTGTTCAATCATGAAAACATCACTGTAGTTAAATATTAAAAATAACAAAACTCCGTACTTCGTTACGTAAATTTAACATTGATTAAGAATTTTGGCGAACCATAAAGCTGAACTGATGAGTCAGTCATTCGATCAGACTTCAATGTGATGTAAATTTAACTGAAAATGAAATTTAGTTAATTCGTGCATTAAACATTCGTTTGAGGTCGTTTCTCAGAATTCACCACGGATCTTCTAATAAAGCTTTAATCACGTCATTCAAAGTAAATCCTTTAAGATTATCAACAAACCCAATAAAACGATTCGGGCACTCAGCAATAAATCATTAACGGAACCAGTCAAATAATTCTGAATAGTAGCACATACAACAACCGCTGGAGTGTTATAATGTTACACTTATTCCATTCACTGAAGTTTCGGCATTGCGATATTTCATCCATTCAACTAATGTACCCGTCTATGGGCCTTAAAAGCCCACAGCAACTCACGAAGCATCGAGTGTTATATCGAGCCGTTGAATGAGAGAACAGACAGACAGACAGATGTACGCGGTGGTACGGAAGTCTTCACATTTCCATCAGCTCAGTGCACTTTCACTTTCTCCGTGGCGAGTACCACGCGCCCCATGTAGTTCAGATGCATCGCAGTGTTCCGATTTCGTGTCCACACGAAACTCACGTTCGTGTGTTTGTGTAATACGCCCCCTTATTCGTTACCACTGTAACACATCCCTAACAAGCATTTCTACCAAATTAAATTCGGTTCTCATAACCAATGAATCTTACTGCACGAAGATAAGTATTAATATGATTCTGAAGATTTCTGTCTTATGGCTTGTTACGCCGTGTAGTACGGTAGATGTTTACCAACGTTTCGGAGGTCATACTGCCTCCGTCATCAGGGCGATGATTCTGAAGATTTCTGTCTTCTGGCTTGTTACGCCGATGGTAGATTCTTAACCAACGTTTCAGAGGTCATACTGCCTCCATCATCAGAGTATGAAGATTTCTGTCTTCTGGCTTGTTATGCCGTGTAGTATGGTATATGTTTACCAACGTTTCGGAGGTCATACTGCCTCCGTCATCAGGGCGATGAATCGCCTTGATGTCGGAGAATCCAGGACAGTTAAAGTCACTGCAAAATCATTAACTCAGGGAAGAAAGGGCAGAGATAATTAACGGTATGAAACTTGAATGGTGTCTTTTCTACGTATTGTTAAATGCACAATGAACTGAAATCCTTTTACACTAAACGGAATGGATCTTGATGACATGTTTTGTCTCGTCTTCCGTTTTGAGAAATCATTAAGTTTAGTTTGGGCTTACTCCATACACCGAGGCTTTGTGCAGTTATTTTGATGCTCGTCTTCTAACTCTTTCTTCTTACTGTTTCAGATCCTGTCGAGAGTCATGAAGCGGAACCGGCTTCTCTTGTCTTGGTACCTCTTAACAGGTAGAGCTACCCTTGATATTAAGTCTCTAAACTTTTGAGCTATCTTGCTTAATTGACTGAGTCTTGCCTTATATAATACGCTATTTGGTTAAAAGGAAGTCGATTATGAAGTGGCCTACACAGCAGCAAACATTCTTCGACTACGATATAATATTAACAGGATTTAAAGCAAGGAACTATGTCTTCATGATGACAACAAATTAGGCATTTCAGTTATTGAAGGTTCTTTTACACACACAAAAGACGTTCTTAATAGAATACGACACGAGAAATGCAAGCACTATTGTCTGTATTCAGGTTCGAACCTTTGTATTCCCAGCTACGTTTAATTATTTTGTGCGAATAATACCTAAAATTAAACGCTAATTGGCAAAGACGAAAAGAGGAAATCACATAATTAAGAATTTAATTGTTTTTGCTGAATGGGTAATACAAGAGAAAGCCCCGAGTGAACAGATAACTAGAGTCCAAATAGTAAACAGGAAAAGAGTACAGATGTGTTCTTTATTTGCATATAATATTTTCTTGAAAGTCTAAGAAACGACTATTTATATAAAAATGAACATATATTCAGTTGTGTCTGCAACATTTCATTTTAAAAAAGGTAAACAGATCGCCTCTCTAAAATGAAGTATGTAAATTTTAAGCGCCGGTCTAATAGAGGTCGGAATTAAATTCGCCCATACCACTCTTAATGAAAATCGGTCATGCACTTTGAGACGGATAGTCGAACAGATGGAAATAAGCTCCCCATTATGAATTCACATTTACAAACTTCGTGGAAAATGCGCGTAAAACAGCTATAAATGATATAGTCTTGGGAACGGAATTGTAAACCAATCCGAATCTGAACACGGTGATAAATATTGAGACAATACATATGGCGGCGAAATCATGACCAGCGTGGCGGACACGAATACAAGCGACGTGTGCACCTGTGTTTTGTTTTGTGACGCTAGTATCTCTTTTCGACGAGGAGTTAGAAAGCGTGGCATACAAACTAACAAAAACGTTTTGATCTTTAACATTTCATCTAATATAACAAAGAAATGTCCATAGTACGTCACAGCTGCATGCAATGTGATAGGGTGAATATTACACTGTTTTAATGAAAGTAACTCAGACACCGATTACCGAAGCCTCAAGTTCCCATCAAATATGGTGATGCATTTAAGCTATTACTACTCCAGTGTGTAACAGAGGCACGAGGTTAGAATCCCATCATCAGGGCAGTAAGGACCTCTGAAACGTCGGTAAACATCTAACAGACTACACGGCGCAACAACCCAGAAGACAGCAATCCTCGAAATTTGTTATTTTTCCCTGAGGGAAGAATTTAGATTTGGGTTTGGTAAGACAGTCACCAAGTTTACCACTACTTCCGCTCAAGAACGTAACAATAATTTTTAACATTTTTATGGGAGTGGTTTCTCATCAACTTTGCGTCTTACAAGAAGACAAATCGATATAAACGAATAATGTTGTTCTTCTCGTGTCTTCCCATTCACAAGCAAACCGTTAGCCGAATTACACATATTTCACGCAGATGAGACGAGCCCAAGTTACATCTCTAGTTGGGTTATGTAACCAGTCTACCTGTAATGCAACTGTACAGACAGTAAGCCAGTTCACCTTCGCGATTGTGCGACACATTGGGTAGGATCCGAGAGGCAAAATGTCATACAAGAAAGTGCTTCGGACAGCCTTGAGACAGGATGGCAGAAGAGTAGCCTGCAGAAAACTTTCGACATTCTTTAACAGAGGCCTTGACACTTAGCAACGTTTCGCCTAAACTCATATGTTGAATGTCTTTGTATTAAAGCACATTTATTTTCAATCGTAAGACGTATGAAAATGTCATTTATATGACGTGGTAAGCTTATCTGAGAAATACTGTCTGTTACAAGAGAATAAGTTGGTAGTCTTAAGCTACATCACCTAAGACATAAGAGAAAAAGAGAGTCGATGCAACTCCAGTCACACTGACAGGAATAACCCGGGGCATTATGTTTGTCCGAAAAGTAGTGAAGTGAAGATGGAGGCGACACATTCCTCCGAAACCTTGATCACTAACTCCAAGACCTGACAGCGTCACAACCCAAAATACCACGATCAACATCTTCACCCTCGCGAGAAACAAATGTCCCACTTTAATATCATACTCCCATCTGCGCCTTTGCCTTTCGAATGGTCTCCTCCCTTCAGGTTTTGTAACCAAAATTTTGCATGCATTTCTAATCTCCCCGTGCGTGCTACATTCCCCATATATCACATTGTCCTTATTTAACTATAGTATAAATTAAATAACTGCATAATTAACTGGAAAGAAGTGCGGAGGAAGCGGCCATGAAATATTTCAAAACGCTATTCCGGCATTAACCCGGACATTCTGACAAAAATCACGAAAGCCTCAGCCACGACCTTCATTGTCCTTACAGAGACTTGAACAGGGTATCTTAAAGATACAAGTCGGTTTTCTCCGGTTTTTCTTTAGGAGGTTACACGAAGTCAGTCCAATTCTATCTGCTTCCTGATGTATAAATCTCCAAACATGCACATGTATTTTTAGTCCTACTGAATGGGCAGTTCTAAGAAATTGTAGATGTTTTTGGCTTTCCGTACCATCAGAACTATAATTTTGGCTGTTAATTTGGATGTTGGATCGATATGTGGAATGTTATCGATACTTAATAAAGACTGAAGTGTAGTTTCGACAAACATTATTGTTGAAAAGGATTGGAAAAAAAGTTCCTTTCAGTGTGCAGAATAAATTTTATTCTAGGGCACTTTCCATCAACATATTATGAAAATTTATTTTAATTTTTTTAGTACGCCTATACAGTATGATCTACTCGTCTATGTAATACATAATTAGTATCATCTATTTAATTTTTGTGATACAGTCCCAAAATAAAAATTTAACTGGCCCATCCATGTATTTTCAGTGAGGTTTGCAGACTTTTACACTTTATTATGAAAAGGTATTATAATTTTAACTACCTAGACACAACCAAATTAAAATTGTAAGCGAATAATTGTCATTTATTGCTCCTGCTGCTTTAAATCACACCGACGGAGTGATTTTATGTTGGTATTTAATTAACTTAATCCTTAAGACAACACGTAAGGAAAACCATTATTTCCTATATATGTACATTGTATCCAAGATCTGATCAAATAAAGCATGGTGCAATGCATTCTATCTCTTTGTATAAGAACAACAAAATTGGAAAGTGCATACATCATTGACATTTTTTTTTCTTTTTACTGCAGTAGTTACGAAATACAAATTAAACATGTCGTTAAATACAGTAAGGTGCTAGAAACGTCCAACACTCACATGGGCATATGTAAAACTCCTTTCACGCCCCGTAAGATGACACAATACCCTTAACATCTCGCACAGATTCTAGAAACAGGCTTCAACATCGTGCAACACACTTTCATGGAGACAAGGTACAGCAAGGAAAGGTCTCTTACACCTGCTGGTTTCAACAGTTCGTGTTGTTTTGTAACTTCATGCCGATTAGGAATTGTGGGCCTTTTACTTAGAGCAAACACGAGCGGATCTATCCAACTGTAAGCCACGGACAAGTTCAAAAACCTGCGTCCTCTCCCGTAGCTTATCGAAGCAAACAACAAAATTGGCATAAACTTGTATGTAATTTACACAAGGTTTCAGCGGTAATTAGGAATTTTAAAAAGGCTAAAAAGAATCTTTCACTGAAACGAAATAAACTGATCAAAGTTGACATTTCAGTTTATCACAATGGCGAGTATGAAGATGGCTGTCTTCTGGGTTGTTGCAACGTGTAATCTGTCTGGTAGAAGCCTACCGACGTGTCAGAGATATTTGCTGCCTCCATCATGAGGGCATTCAACAGGGCAAGCACCTCTGAAACTTCGGCAGACTTTTATCGGACTGCAAGAAGGAAAGCAGCCATCTTCAGGACCAAATTTGGTTACTGTTCACTATCGCCAGATGTACATCTTGTGCAATAAGATAAATACATGCATCATCTAATCAAATAATTTAATAATTACTGCTAAAAATCTCGTGTTGTTAATGTCTTAATTAGGTAATTTGACTTTAAAACCGAATAATTAAATGCAGTTTACCTCATGGGTTGGCGTACTGGGCTAGTGAGTAGATGGGCACAGATCTAATGTCACTACCGTCAGGATTTTCATTACTTTACATTGACCAAATATGTTACAGATTATTATTATTGTTGCTAATATTTTCTTATATGGAAAGAATTATTCATCACGGATTCTGTCTACATTAAATTTTCTGAACATGACGTCAACGTTTCTCACCTTCGTGGTGTTTGTAGTCAATGACATATAATCAATATTTGATAAAAAAATTATAAAAATGTTTATAATCTAAGTTTATACACAATTTCATATTTAGCCTATAGACACAAAGGTCCATTATTTATCATTAAAAAACAAAGCTAAAAGAAATTTTTCGGACGACCACATTTCGTCCTTTTATAGTCTACAAAAATTATCTTGACAGAAATGCACATTTTTCAAATATCTATTTCCATGAATCGTTAAAGACCCTTTATTAATTGGCTCTACTGTTGCTTCCGTGTCATATGTTCGTGCGTTCCTCATGATTTTAGTAATCTACTTGTTGTGGGAAATTAAAAAGTTTGAGATTGGTGTAGTCTGCAGTTACTGCACCTGGTTCAAAAGTTTGCAAGGTGAGACGCTAACTATACAGTAAAAGGTTCATTATTCTGACATTACGATCGCAAACCAGTGGCTACTGGAGGCTACTTTAACACTTCTGTACAGTCATACAGAATTCTACATCGCACTATATGCAAAGTCTCGCTGCAACACACTCCTTGAATGAAATGTCAATTAAGCTACTGGTAAGAGAAACTAACGCTGGCATAATGACCCAACTTTAGCGATAACACAGATCAGGTTACTCGGTTCTCAGTACTGGTAATCAACGGAATCTTGACTCAGCATTAGTATAA